TTTGGTGAAGGGATGATTAAAATTACACTTTCAGCAGCGACTAGTGAAGTGAAGAAAATGAGAAGCTGTTGTGTTTCAGTGTGACCACACGGGGGCAGTGCTGCATAAATGTTGTGTTATCTTACCAAGCATGGTCTCTTTATAAATGCCCAACAGAGCAACAAAATGACTTTAATTATATGCTCTGTAGTCAGTTGTCAGTTTGGTTTACTTGATACAAACCGTCTCCTCTCAGATCTCAGAGGACTGATGTCACATAATGGGTCCCTGCATTAGTGTGATGGTGTGTCTGTAGTCGAAATCAACTGATTGATTTTTGTTTCTTCAAAAGAAGAAAACTGGCTGATGGCTGATGTTCTCTGTTCCCCACAGATTTGCCAACTACTCAGCTAATGTGATGGTGGACAGGAAACTTGGGCTCTAATGTCAATTATTTGTTTTCAAATCATATAATATATTCAAAGCACTTGAGTTATTCCTAAGAGATCGAACTTAGAGATAGATGCACCTTTTTCCTCATCACCACATCATAAACTTCATGTGAAACACTGACTATAGCTGACACACATTCTCAGCACAGTCAGACATTTAAGACTAAACAGCACAAGGTGGAGGAGAAGTGAGAGTAAAACATTTGAGTAAAAGTATCTTATATTTGAAATTTCCACCAACTCTATTTCTGTGTTTGCAGTGCTGTGTTTACTCAGTGGATCTAGATCAGGGGTGTCCAACTCGAATCCTCGAGGGCCGGTGTTCTGAAACTTTTACATGTGTCCCTGCTGCAACACATCTGAATAAAATTAGAAGGTCATTAGCAAGACTGTATAGATTCTATACAGTCTTGCTAATGACCTTCTAATTTTCAGGTTCTATACTACAGAACCAGACCTGAACACCTCAGCATGCAGTCAAGTTCTATAGTCTTGCTAATGACCTACATCACTTCCCTCCCTCTTTTTAAGTCCAAACTCAAAAATCACCTATTCACATTAGCCTGTTCCACATCAATTTTTCCATCCTGCTACTTTAATTTATTTTATTTATTTGCTCAACGTTTTATCGTTATTATTTTGTAAATTGTTATGTTTGTTGTTGTTATTGCTTGTGTGCAGTGTCCTTGAGTGTTTTGAAAGGCGCTTTCTTAAATAAAATGAATTATTATTATTATTATTAGTAGTAGTAGTAGTAGTTTTAGTAGTATTAGTATTATGTTATTTCAGGACACCAGCCTTCAAGTTTTGATGCCTTTTTTTGTCACCTGTATTCCAGATGGTCAAATTCTGTGTTTTCGAATATGTAGAGTGTCTCTGCTCTCTGTCACACTCTGGGATGAATCACAGCTTCCATTATTAGTTTACAGTTTGTGTTTCTCATTAAACTTTGCATTATTTAGCACCTTTTTCTATTTCTAAGCTATATCACAATATCTGTTCATTTAACCATCTTTGCACTAAAATGCTGTTATACAAGAATCCATTT